AAATCCAGGGGAGCTGGCACTCTTGTTCCTCTTCATTATTAGGGAGTCAAACCTTGACAATCCTAATTCACATAGCTAATACAGGGCAGGACCAGGATGCGAACCCCAGTACTCTGATTTGCCACCTCTATATGGTGGCCAAAAATTAAGAACCCAAGCCTCAGGATGTGTTCCTACAGAGAAGGCAGCCTGCAAAGATGAAGTGTGGTTTCTCTAGAATCATCTCTTCCAGGAAAGCCAAGGTCAGGTATAAGGCCGGGGAAGGAGGCAGGTTAGGGCTGACATGAGAAGGCGTACAGCCCGAGGACACGGGGTGAAGCAGGTGTGCTGGCGGGAAGAAGGGCTCACCGTGAGGTCAGCCTTCCCTTGACAGGCACTGAAGAAGGTCCCAAGCAGTTTTGAAATGGCGTCACCATGGCCACAAGGCAGACTGAGGCGCAGGCAGATCAACTGAGACCCTGAAATTGCAACCAAAGCAGGACCAAGGAAGGTCATAAGAGGAGCCCAGGGAATTGAGAAACTTACAGTTCCCGTAGCTAGGAAGAAAAGAAAAATAATATTTAAAGGACAAGCTAAAAAGAGGCACCCCTCCCCCAAGGAGAGAGAAAACTCACAGCTCACGCAGCCACAAAGAGCCTCCGCAGAAGAGTCTGAGGAGCTGGAAATGCATCTTGAGCACCTGGCAGGTTGCTAGACGGAGTCGGGAGACTGATTTAAAAATCACCACCAGCAACAAAGTCTTTCTGAGTTAGATATTTTCATCCCATATCTCATAACTTTGGCTGAGGACACCTACGTCTTTGGGCTACGCTCAATCACCTTGAAATGCAAACCACGAGGAAAGCCAGAAATGCGAAGACAAACCTGCACGCAGCCACGAGCACCGGCCTGGAACCGGCAGGTCGAGGGGCCGGATTGTCAATTGAGCGAAACCTCAATTACAGAGCAATCTAATATACACGCAGGTACATGATCACAGCCCGATAAACAGCTCTTCAGAATTAAGTACTTCCAATTTGCTTTCATTTTGGTTGGTGTGTCGCCCTGGGAATTTGATATCACTCGCACTCAAATGTAGGGTGGCTTCTGAAACTCTGAGGCTCGCCATCCCGGGACAGCACTGGTGCCTCGAGCCAGCCATGAACACGCTGGGTCAGGGGAAGACAAGACCCAGCCTGGGCCTGCCCCACCTGGCCAGAGAGAGCACCTGCCAGTTCGCCATCGAAAGGGGCCTCCAGCTCCTGCCACCCTTGGGCACCCAGGAGTCCTGTGACCTCCCAACACCAGCTTGGAGGTCTGTGTGAATGTGGGGGGTGGGGGGCAGGGGCATGTGGCCAGTGGCTGAACACAAGCTATTTTTCCTTTGCCCCTAGATTCCTGGCTCATCAGTGGTGGATGTAGCAGAGGAGCCAAGGGCTGACCTAGCACAGACCCCATGACCCCAGTGTTCCCAAACCATATGTCAACCCTCATTTCCTTATGCTGTGAGCGAGCACCAGGCCTGTGTTTCAAAGGAGACTTTAATGGATTTCACCCAGGCCACACAGACAGCAGTCAAATCAGCCCTGGGCCAGGAGTCCCCACCCAGCTCCTCATCACCTCTTACTTCCTCACCTGAAAATCGCCCCACATCAGCAAGTTATTTATTTTAACAAACACACACATGGCAGTGGACCAGGCACTCTGCCAAGAACTCCTACATCCATGATCTGACTTAATTCTCACAACATACAGCCCCCCACAACCCTTTATTCTGATTCCCCACTGAACAAGCTGAAGCTGCGAGACACTGATGTTCAAGGTCACAGAGCTGGAACCAGGTGTGCAGGAACTCAACCCCAGTGTCCCAGCTCCAGAGGTCTTTCCTGCTTCTCAACTGAGTGGTGCCGAGCCAGCCCGGGGGGTTCTCTCCCGTGATGCTCAGTGCCACCAGGCACTCCCTGACCCTCAGACCCCATCTAGTGTGTGATGCCAGAAGAGGGGATTCAGAACAGCCCAATCCCCTGGAAGAGCACTTAGCCTATGGGAAATATTTTTGCTTTGTTTTTCCAATTTTTTCCTTTCCCTGAAAGAAAGATTAACATATTTTCCTTGTCTTTTTTTTCCTTCTAGCTTAACACCAACTGTAGAGAAAAAGGCAAACAAAGCTGGACACTGAATAGTTGCTATCCCATAAAGGAGGCCCTCAAGTAGAATAAAATGGGGCCAGAGTGGTGGGAGCTTCAAGCCAGCAATGCCCAGCACAAAAAAGACTCTAGAGGACCAGCCGGCCCTGGCCCTCTGTGAGAGAGCAAGGGCTGAGGGTTGGGGCTCAGCGTGGAAGTAGCTCCTGCAACCCATCCACAAACTGCCAGGGCACTACTCCCCCAGGCAGAACCCCGGCCCAACAGGCACAGCCAACACAGGACAAATTCAGGGCCCAGGAGCCCCTGGCCACCTTTGCAAATCGAAAAAATGATGCTTTTCTGAGGAAATCACATCCTCTGCTCCAAAGGCCTCTGAACTGGGCTTGCCACTCCCCCCTCCCACAACTGGGGACACAAGGAAACCTGGTTCCATGTGTCAACATGTGAAAAGTACAGGGTACAAAGTTCACTACACAGCATTGCCTAGTGTCTCATTACCAACCCCGTGCCAGATAAGTGGAGGTGCTGGCAAGAGCGTGAAAGAGCAGGAGAAAGGCAGTGCCTTCCCTCATGGGCCCCCAAACTGGTATTGTGTTTAGAGGGCTTGCAGGGAGGTGGGAGTTACACATTCACTGAGTCACCGAGAGGCCTGCAAAGGCCACTTGGTCAAACAAATCAATCTTACACACCAAAGAAAGCAGATAGGAGCCTAATGCAATCAAATGATGGTTTCTTTTATATATTAATGGCACTTGATGTAAATCTCAAATTATTTTTCTCCCCATTAGCTGTTTTGTTCATGACTACCTAATTTGTTGATCCTCAGCTTAAATGTTCATGGCATTAGGGGGCGGAAGCAAATTCCCGCTGAGCGCAAGCTATTTTCCCTTTGCCCCCAGATTCCTGGCTCATCGGTGGAGGATACAGCAGAGGAGCCACGGGCTGACCTAGCACAGACTGAGGCCAGTAACTCGCCCACTCACAGAGCAGTCAACAGGGACTTTGAGGCAGAGCTTGATGAAATGACTGAGCGTGTGGGTCAAGGCGGGTGGTTCACAAGACTGTGAACCTTGAAGATGCCCCTCTTCACACAGAGCTAGATCCTAAAGGGGGAGATGGAAACTTACCTAGGAAACAAAAGGAAAATGGAAGTTTGCAGGGGGGGTAATTGCTATGCAGAAAGAGACAAGACGATGGAGAGAATGTAGACACCAGGGCAGGGGCCATGGCCGGGAGGCAGGCAGACCCTCTTAGAGAAGATGGAATGGTAGCATCTGAGGTGAACCCTGAAAGAGGATAAATGTCAGCCAGTGAGTCTTAGGGCAACGCAGGAGAGAGAATCCCAGAGCAACCATGGTCTGGTCCCCGGTCGGGGTACCGGTCTCATGCGGGGCCAGAGAACAGAGGTCAGCGGTTTCACCCCAACCCATACTTTGACAGGCAAAGGCATGGGGGTTATCGATCCATATTTCTAACTTCAAGCACACTGGGTATGATTTTACAGCTGGCATACGATGAGCAGCCTCGTTATTTCATTCACTAAATTATGCTATATTAAAATTTTAATCGCAGAACATAACACTGGAAAATGAGTACATCCGTAAGCCGCTGTTGCCAGTGTAAACTGTCAAACTGTTTCTTTTTGCAAAAGCAATATTGCAACACAAAGAAAAATCCATAGAGATGCTCATATTCTTTGGCCTCCCAACTCTTCCCCTAGGGAATTTATCTGAAGAAATAATCCGGTTCCAAAAAATAAGAATGTTCTCTTCTGAAACATTCCATGGAGGTGTTAATTGTTGCAAGCACAAAGGAAAGATGAAGCAAAACAAAAAAACCTGGAATTACCTAAATGACTACAAATAGGGAGATTTTTAAAAACAGGAGGATTCACTTGATGAAATAGTATACAACCACTAGCATTATAACAAGACGATGGAGCCTTTCAAAAACAAACAGGACAGGGCCTCCCCGGTGGTGCAGCGGTTGGGAGCTGGGTTGCAAAGCTGCCCTCAGCCTCTGCAGCGTGGGTTCGATCCCCGGCTGCTCCCCGGCCACCGGAGCAGGGTCCCGCATGGCGCGCAGACCTCTCCTGCCGCCTGCTGCTCCCCTCAGCAGTGTACTTCGGTCCTTCTGCCTGTTCTGCTCCCCGCTCTGGCTCTGGTGAATTCTCTCACCCTCCCGCGCTTCTGACTGTACCCAGTGCATGAATAAACAAAACAAACAAACAAACAAATAAAAAAAACATGCCTCCATAAAAAAAAAAAGAAAAAGAATTTCTAAAAAAAAAAACAAAAACAAAAACAAACAGGACACCCAGCTCCTTGAAAGAAGCAGAAAAGGAAGCAATGTGCACATTTTAACAAAAAAATATGTCAACCAGACCACAAGGTGAACAGGGGGCCAAATGGAAAGAACTGAATCAAGGCCAGGGGTGGGTGGGGGATTATTTCGAAAGTCCTTCCAAAATATTGTCGTTATATTGAGTTTTCAATTAAAATTTGCTCAGGAACAATTGCAATCTCTGCTTGCTGCAAGAGAACACCACCAGAAACAAGGCCATTGGTGCATCCTACCTTTAAAGGCAAAATAAAGCCAGATCTGGAGATGTCAACATGCAGTCTGTCAAGTAGGGCTCTCCTGTTTCTGCAGCTGGATTTTGAGCAACAACGTGATGTTGCATGATTTTGCGACTGCCCCTCCTTTTTCAGTGTATGTTGGAGGAAGCGGATTGGAAAGTGTATTTCCTGCTGCTGAATGAGTAGGGGAACAGAAGACAGGAAAGGGGTCCTAACGCCTCCCACCTACTCCAGAACAGGGCCAAGGAGTCTCCTTCAAATCAGCCGTGTGGGAGAGCGAGGGTTGCACACTCACCTTTCACGATCAGCTCTGCGTAGTTGGACACGCCGGAGCCGCCGTCCGAGCGGATCACGCAGCGGTACTTGCTCACACTCCGCTGGGCCGTGTCGGCCACACTGACTGTGGCTGAGAAGCGCCTGTGGTTGACCACGCGGGTGACCATGAGGGCCGTGTCCCTGCCATTCCATTGCTGCAGGACAAAGGAAGGGAGAAGTCATACTATCCTGTGCCCCCAAGGACCCCCAGCAGGAGGCACCACTCTTTCCCACATTCCTGGGGTCCGGGAGCTGCCATAATAAGAAGGGGTTCTCCTAGCTGGCTTTTGTGGGTGATCTGATTCAAGGATAAGCTGCCACTAAGCAGATCAAGAGGGCAAGGCTTGGTGGTCGGGAGAGGACAAATGCTTTGCTAAACACCTGGCTCCCTGCTCATCTGCATGTAGAGCAGGGGCTTCGCCCCTTGTCCTTCATGCATGTTTCTTCATCTCTTAAGTGGCATCCATAGGATGCTCCCCCAAAGACACCCTCAGATAGTGAGTGAAAACACAGCTCATGCAGTGATTAAAAACAGCCAGTCCCAGCCCCATGACTGCTGCCTGCTCCCGCGACAGCGACTCAGTTCCCTCATGGGTAGTGTTTGGGGGCTTTTCAGGACGTCTCCTCCTTGGCACATCTCTTTCCCCTGCCTGGACTCTCCTGGCTCCCCAAGGATACTCCCTCTCCCTGATGAGCTGATGAGGTTCAGCTCCTCAACGGCTCCAGTAAGTTCTCCAGATACCATCTCACCTTCTGGAAGTTATTCCCTCTGTTCTGTGTGGTGCAAAATCCCTGTGTATTTTTTTGGCCTCAAGTGTTTTCCACTCCAGACTGTGAGGTCCCCTTGAAAACAGCTGACCCCTGAAAAGCAGACTTTTTCTATCTGTGGTATCTGCATTCACAGATTCAACCCAGGTTGGTTGAAACCCACAGATATGGAGGGTTGACAATAAGGGACTTGAGCATGGGCTGCAGGGGGTTAGGGGGATCCTGAAAGCAATCCCCCTTAGATATCAGGGATGACAGTAGCTAAGTTTTGGGGGAGCTGAAAGTTACATGCTGATTTTTGACTCCACAGAGGGTCAGCGTCCTTCATCCCTGCTTTGTTCAAGGGCCACCTGAGCATCGCTCTGATCATCTCCAGTACCTTGCTTGGAAGCTTTCTAGGACCAAGGTGAATGGATGCACAACTCTTGTTGTGTTTACATCCTGAGCCCTAAGCATGGTCGTCTGAATCCGATGGTTCCAACAGAAACCTTCCCCATCAGGAGCGACAGAGACAGGAGAGGCACAAGCATGAGGACAGTGCTAGTGAATGTCTATTAAGCACCAAATATGTGCCAGACACTGTTTCCTTTTCGGTCCTCATAGCCTTGTTTGAGGTGTGCATTACCGCTGCTCTCATCAGAAGAAACCAAATGTCAGCGAGGTTAAGTAAACATGAGGCACAAATAAGTCCTCTCACCAGGCTTTTCACCTTCAAGTCAAGCATTCTTTTCACTGACACCTTATTTACCCTCACTGCCTGCCTTAATTTCAATTGCTTTCCTCTAAAACTAAAAATTGAGTATTTTAATTATCTGCTGAGAATGTAGGGATGGGGGAGTCCCTTGTGTCCTGGGTCTTCAAGAGGGGATCCTCATTGCTTCCGACACAGAGTAAACAATTCCACCCCATCATCTCCCACTGCCCCTTTGGGTGGTGTGTTGGGACTGGGACAGGAGAGGGGGTGGGGCCGCCGTGTCCAGCTGCACGGGAGCCAATGAGGTGGGGGAGCCAAGGGGGAGCAGTGAGCAGGAAGCCAAGAAACATGGAAGACCAAGGCCTCCCACAGACTTGCCCCAGACTGCAGAGAGAGAGCAGAGATGGTTTTCTTCGTCCTTTTACCTTTTGGTGTTCTCTACACTTCCTGCCTCAAACATGCAAGGCTTTTATTTAGTTGAAAATAACTAGTAGTTTTAAAAGCCATGGCAGTATGAGAGACAACCACAGCTCCCGCCCATTCCAGAAATTACCACCATGACCAGACAAAAGCCAACAGAAGCCCCTGGAAGGAGGACTAGCAGCCATTAGGACTGGACCTGCCGAGATCTAGTACAACCTGGGCCTCCCCGGTGGCGCAGCGGTTGAGCGCTGGGTTGCGAAGCTGCCCGCAGCCTCTGCGGCGCCGGTTCGATCCCGGGCTGCTCCCTGGCTACCGGCAAGCGTCCCACATGGCGCGCAGACCTCTCCTGCCGCCCGCTGCTCCCCTCAGCAGTGTACTTCGGTCCTTCTGCCTGTTCTGCTCCCCGCTCTGGTGAATTCTCTCACCCTCCCGCGCTTCTGACTATACCCAGTGCTTGTATGAATAAATAAATAAATCTTTAAAAAAAAAAAGATTGTAAAAAAAAAAAAGATCTAGTACAACCTGGCTGAACCGTGAGAATGGGCCACAGCAAACACAATCCCTTTTCCCAAAACAGTGCACTGAGGAAGCAGAGGAAATGCTGGCAACACAAGGAAGCTTCCCTGGTTTGATGAAGAGTTGCCTCGAATACACAAGAGGGCCTCAAAAGGGATAAGGGCTGGGGGTCACCTGAGGAGTCCATGTTCCCTGCGGCAGAGCAAGGGCCCTCACACAATGGTGTCATGGCCGATATTATGTACTTTTCCTCTGAAGGGAGCCAGATCCCAGCAAACTAGAGAGGATTAAGTTCATCCCCTTGAATGGGTCACATTTTCCTATTTAGCTCCTGACCCACCAGCCTTTTTTCCATGGAAAGATAGGAAATTGCAGGTTGTCTTATAAAATCTCTGGAAAATAGGTCTTTTGATAATCACACTTGTCATATTGGGAGCAGGCAACAGCAGGACAGGGATGAGCAGGAGGGCCCAGAATTGTGATAGGAAATAGCGTCATGATGGCCCAGGGGCAAGGAGAAATGGAGGTGAAGTCCAGAGAGCTGAGCCCACACGGAGCAGCAGGTGACACTGGAGCAAGCACAGGGCCCAGCCACAGTCTCAGCTCCAGAGAGAAGCAGCAAAGAGAATGCAAGGGCAGAAAGCAAGGGGAGGATTCATTCAGCAGGAAATGGTCAGAGAGCCACATGCACAGGCAACAGGAGCAGGTGTGAGTGGATCCAGGTGGTAGGGCCGGGAGGCAGAGGCTCCAGGAGCCTGAAATGGACCACAGCCCAGGTCCATTTCACAGCAGGGCATCGGAGTACACCTTCCCAGCCAAGTGTCAGGTGCCTTATAATGCCCTGGGATGCCAATGCCCAGCTGCTAGGAAGGAGGAGCATGGCAGTGCAGGGAAGTCAAGGCCTGGGAAGAGTCAGAGAGAAGCAAGACACATGCGGTCCCTACAGAAGCCTGGGGAAGATTCTGCCTGACCCTTAGGTTGGCGAGTAGGTCATTTTTTTTTTTTTAATAATAAATTTTATTTTTATATTCCCCATACAATTGCAACCCCCCCATTCTGACCCCAATCCCTCCCCTCCCGCCCCCCACCCCCCAAAAAGTGTCTCTGGTTCATAGTTTTTTGTTGATTTTGATTTTCACTTTCTTATAGTTATTCATTTTCCTGGTCCCTTGTTTAAGTTTTCGAGATTCCTGCTATGAGTGAGACCATCCGGTATTTTTCTTTTTCTTTTTGGCTTATTTTGCTGAGCATGATCCCTTCCAGCGCCATCCATGTTGCTGCAAATTAACATTTTTGCACCCAACACTAATGATAAAGGAGTAGGTCATTTTTTTTCTGCCTCCTGCAGTATTTTTCAGACACAAGTCTATCACACTTGTGAAATTTCAGGGAACGCTGCCTTTCCTTGTGACAGTGTTCAAAGGCCTCTGTCTGTTGTTCTAAGGTGGCATCATCCTCCAGACCCGCTGATGCTAAATGAATCAACTTCCCCAGTGTTCTAGGCTGGTTCCCTGAAATATGGCACCTTCTCAAGAGAAATGGGATGAAAGTGGGGTGAACAAAATGGGTCAAAACTGGAGTTCAACTTCAACCCCACTCAATAACTCCAGAGGATGAAGGGGTCATGGAGCTGATCCCACCTTCTAGAGTCAGCATGCGTACCCCAAGTCATGTCCTCGCAGGTGCAAGGAGAAGAAACAGCTCCCATTTGACTGAGGGCATCTCTGGGGAAGGGAAACTGAGCCTTTAGCAACCATGGTTACTGGCACATGAAGGACATAGTCAAGGGCACAGAGCACATCCCTCTACCTAGCATTGTCATCTCTGCTTCCTTCTGCGGGCACCGTACACGGCCCCTCCTGAATCCACGAGCCACCGCCTTGAGTCTTGCTGGTCATCTGCTTGGGAAGCCATGTTTTAAAATATATCTATATGGCACTGGGAACATGGGGACTGGACCCCCATCACAGGGCACTGCCTCCACTGAAAAGTCAGCATATCCCCACGAACAGAGTCCCATAGCTGAGCGTTTGAGAAATATTTTGCTCAACTTAACAGGATTTGTTTGAGCATTTAAGTAAAAGTTACATTAACATTTTGAGTGCTTGGTCTGTGCTAGGTACACTACTAATTGGTTTATAGCATAGTATTCACTTAATCCTCTTAAAATCCCAGTGAAATCCTTCTCAATACTTCTCTGGACCAGCAGCATCGGCTCACCTGAGAATTTGTCAGAAATGTAAATTTTAAAGAGAAATCTAGGACTGATACTCATTTGCAAATGCTGTTTATTGGAGTTGGTGGTCTGTTTTTTGCCTTCCCCTGTTCTATTATTAATCATCCTGGAACTGTGATCATTACTTAACAAAACAGAAAATGAAAGTGTGGATTGTGGAAGGTATAATTTCTGCCCAGAAGAATTGACAGGCTGGATCAAGATTCCAAAAACAGCAAAAGGTTAAAACATAAAGCATATTTCATGGAGGGGAACAGAGTGGGTAGGGAATAAGTAATGTTTAGAATGATCTAGAGCAGTGGTTCTCAAACTGTGGTCCCTATACCCACTACATTTGCATCCCCTGGGAACTTATTAGAAACCCACATTCTGCAGCCCTTTCCCTGAACCTAGCCATGTTAGGGGTGCAGCCAGGTCATTATGTTTAACAAACTCTCCAAAATGATTGCAATGCATGGAAAAGCAAGAGATAGATCCACTAATATTCCTATTTTACAAACAAGGAAAGTGAGTCAGAA